CCCCTGCCCCACTCTCCTGTCCGTTTAACTAACCTGCTTTCTCTTGCTGCCTTCAGAACGTACCACTGGATGATAAACCAGATCAAGTGTCTTGGACTGAAATGGGACAGGGTACCAATGAAGGAAAGCGAAGAAGAGAGCTGGAAGCAGCTTGGTTTTCTCCAAGCCCGTTGAGGCTGCTGAGCAAAGAGCCCTGAGCTTTGCCTGAGATGCATTTAAAGACAAACCAAAGACTTTCGTAAAGGACTTCTAGCGAAGCGTCCACGTGTTTTGAGTGGCACAGCTTTGCGAACGATTATCTTCTATTTATGAGATGCAAGGAAGATTCAACACTGACTGGTGGTGTTAAACACAATTTAAATTATTTGTAGTATCTATATTTGTATTTATTTTGATGAATGTCTTTCAGCAGTTACTGGTCTTAATATTGCTTTTGCATTAATATGTCCATTCCAAATAAATTACTTGAAATGTTCACTTTTTATTACTATACTCTGGGCTGCAGTAACTTTTGTTGATGCACGTTTGTGGAGTGGGCAGTGGTGTTGTGGCTTAAAAAGAGAGGGTAAGCTCAGCTTTTTGGTGCCCTGGCCGGGGCAGTGGGAGGTGGAGAAAGCCCAGATAACCCATTTGTGTTTGGCCTCCTCTCCCGACCAGGGAGGGAAGGTGTGTTGAGCTCCAATTCTGATCAGTGGTGGAAACAGAAAAGCCTACCGCAGCTTGAATAAGCGCTCCTTTTGAAGTGCTTTCCCATAAAATCGAGTAGTGGCAGCCACAGAAGGTACAAGAGCTCCTTACAATAATAAAATGCTGCTGGTTTTGCTAACGCCTCGCATCCTGTCCTCGGCCCCCGTAGCTTGGTGCTGTGCTAAGGCAGAAAACTGAATTCTTGATTTGGGAATAGCACAGCGCTGGCACTCCATGGGATTCCTCAGCTTTGCAGCAAAGCGAGCTGAACTCGCTTGCTCTCTGCTCTTCCTCCACCTCTGCATTCTCTAGATAGAGTTAAATTTCTACAGCGTAACTGGGAAGAATGGAGATGGTCTTTTTTCCTATAGCACCCGGACCAAGAATCTTGGAGAAAAAAGCAGCTAATTTTTTGGATAAAACTACTGAAGTTTTATCTTGTGAGGCTCAATTATCACTAACTAACCTGAGCTTCCTCCAGAGCGATGCTGCAGCACGCGACTTGGCTCCGGCAGTCAGGACTACGAGCTTAGCAGGCAAAGTGCTTGTTACTAACGCTCCAAACTTGGTGATTTCAATCAGGTCATTTCTCCCTCCCAATATCAGTGCAATTCTTGCAGGAGACTTTGTACTAGAGGAAGTTGCAAAGTATGCCATTACAAGCAGCCTGTAGTAAGAGTAAGAGAGACTTCGTACGGGGGGGGAAAAACTCCTGGAAGGAGCGTTGGCCCCTGTTTCTGGAAGGAGCTGGGAGACTCTGGCACTGCAGCGGGCTACAGCTGAGCTTCGCATCCTCCTCGCACGCTGCTGGCAGCAACGCTGCTGTCCGCCGGGCTCCTGCGGAGGCAGGGTTGGACATGATGGAGCTGTGGATGTAGCAAACCTTTGGCCACAGCGTTTGAAAGCCTTTGGCCTCGATTCCCTTCTAGCACAAGAACACCAGGGGTGCATTTAATGCAGCAAAATGATGCTTAAGATGTGTTGTACCACGATTTTCCTTGGTACCATTGCGGGGGGGGGGTGGGGGTGTGTGAAATAAAAGGCCAAACCAGAGCCAAGGCACTAGGTCCTAACTCCCTTAGTTTTGTTAAATCCAAGTGGGAATGCTGACTGACAACAGCTGAGGATCTGGAGCTATTGCCTGCAATGACAGCCACTGCTGGGGAGGGGGGAACCTGATAGCCCCTGGGGTCCCGCAGCTGCCAGTTGCTCCGGCCCAGCTCCAAGGCCTTTGCAAACCGATCTGTCCCATACTCTAAATGCAAATGTTGACAAAATGCAACGTATTGTTCAAATGGTTTTTTTCCAGGTTTATGGAATCAAAAATAAAACTCAAGAACATCTTTATTTCTATGGAAAAAGTAAGGGGGTTACTTTCTTGCAACTGAATTATTGGTTTTTCATCTCTCCCAGTGGGATTTTACTCTTTAAGAGGTAAATAAACAAACCTATATTGACAATTAGCTGTAAATAGCCAAAGGAGGAGACTCCAAATTGTTTGTATAGAACTCCACCGATGGTTGGGCCCACCGTCCGGGTCAAGGGCTGCACCGAGGCGCAAATCCCGAGCATGGTACCTAGGAGAGACGGCAGAGACACAGAGACGTCAGGGTGAGAGCAAGTCTTGGGATGGAAAAGCAGAGAAAAGCCTGAAGGACCCCCTTTGTCCCTGATGGTGTTCCCCTGCAGTAGTAGCAAATCACTTCACATAGTCTCTTGCATGAAGTTACAGAAGTCCAATTAGGGTTCGTTAAGGCTAAGGACTCCTGGAGACATGGGGACTAGTTTCTACCACGAGCCAGCTCAGCTTTTTACTGAGTGGTCCAGACGACTGTAACGCTGCCCAAAAGGCAAACCAGCGCTCGCTGCTGCCTTCACCAGGGCCCGCGAATGCCTTTGGCCCCAGAAGATGCTGCTGAACATCGCACCCAGCAGGGCTGGTAACTACCGCATGGGGTTAGGGATGGAGGGGTGTAATTTCTAGCGGTGTGTGCGAGACTTCCAAGCAAATCACACAGATTGTTCCACTATCATGTGTGCCTGCGAGGGTCCTGTTCCACTCAAGCTGCTACTGCCATTTATTCTCTAGTGTGGGACAGAGGAACAGCTCTTGAGGGCTTAGCAGGAGTGAGAGGCTCAGGTCTGACTAGGTCTTTAAGAATAAATAAATCAAACCACAGATAAAGACTGAACCCCCTTGAGATACTCCACACACACACACTCCCCCCCCATTGCAAAAAGAGCGGATATTTCAATTGGGCTGGAAATGCAAGCCCTTCGCCTGGCTGGGCCGGTTCCCCCTCCAGCAGCTCTCCCATTTGCATCGTTAACAGGAACCCGGCAGATGGGGAAGCACCTCCAGTTTGGCAAAGGCAATTGTGGGTTTTGTTTTTTTTTTTTTTCACATGCAGCTGGATGGCCAGGACATCCGCGACCCCCCCCCCCCACTCAACGTGCTCTTTGCCCTTCGGTCTTTATGCAGGATGGCTGTCATGCTTAGGGGAGCAGAAAATACCTGGCCAGCCAGAAAATCATTAGCCCCCAACACTGGGAGGAAGGGCAAGCTCGCAGCAAACGCTAGAAACTTGTGCCCTGCTCTGAGATGATGGTTGGAAATTTTTTTTTTTAACATTAGTACAATTATTTGGGCTATTGCCATCAGTTTTCCACCAAGACATGTGTTGAGGCATTGTCACTGCACAAGGTCAGCGGCTTCTGGGAAGGATGAGGAGGATGCCGTCCCATGTGTCAGAAGATGCGGAGCGGGGAAATGATCCCCGGCTCCGAGTGAGAGAGAGAAGAGGCAGCCAGGTGTTTGCGTAATGCCGGCCAGCGACTGCTGGGCTTTTATCAGCGTGCTTAAAATACTTGTGCAATGAGCCCAAGCCGAGGGTGTAGCCGTGTGGAGAGGGAAATCTCCCAGGAAGTGGTGCTGAGCGCTCCTCCTGCGCATGGGAACACAAAGGCGATGGGTGGGACCTCGCCTTGACCCTTTGCCAATGGGAACCATCCCACAACCACCAAACTTTCTGGGCAGGTTTTGCAATTACTTTTTCCCCTCTAGGTATTTGAATTAAACTAATTACTACGTACAATTGCCAAACTGGCTCTTATGATTGAGGAGGCACTTTTTTTCCTTTCCTTTTTTTTTTTTTTCTGGAGCAGAAATCCATCCTCTTAAAAGGTTGGGCTCTCCCTCTGCGCTTCTCCAACATGTTACAGAGAAAGATAATTTCTGTTTAATGGGTTTAAATTAGAACCTTCGTGTTGGATGCCCTCGAGCTTTGGGACATTGTAAATCTCAGCTCTGCAGCGTGGTCCTAGCTCCGTTGCAAAGCTGCTCAAGTGATGGATCTCATTTAAGGCAAGACCTTTAACTGGGACAAGTCACCACATCAGCAGAAAAATTCCTGCGTCTCTTTGCGCAGCTCTGCTGACACACATGCTCACCTTCTTCATCACAGCTATCCCACTTTCTGCACCTTCTCTGCCCTTTTTTCTCCCTCCCCAGCTTTTTTCCCCTTTTTCCCGTACCTGGCATGACCCGTCCCATCCGAGAGCCCATCCTCCCCTCCTCTCCTCCCACAGGTTTCAGGGTTGGGTGCTGGCAGCTCCCCAAGCCGGGCGGCTCCGTCCCTCCTCCCACCCTCCGCTGTGCTGGGTGTCCCGGCTCGCCCTCTTTTCCAGCTCACATCCTGTTGCCGCACTCGGATGATGGTGTTGGCCCAGATCAGCCGCACGCCCGCTGGGCAATCGCAGGGCCTGATGTAACGATTAGGTCATTGCCGCCAGCGGCCTCCTTCGAACCAGCAAAGCCCGAGCAAAGCTGGGGGGGTTCAATGTGCCGAGTCCCGCCTGGCTGCAAGCTCTCCTCCTAAGGTTTTGCATCTGACGTGCAAATAAAATCACGAAACATGGGCCCATTACGCAGGGAGGTGGAGGGGGTCTGTGCGGAAACAAGACCTCCATTCTCGGAGAGGGAGCAGGGTTGACAAGGAGGGCTTGTGCTGATGCAAGTCCCCCTGGGCTCGGGGCTGCCCTCCCACCAGCTCACGTGCCCAGCTGAACAGCACGTGCACGTGGGAGAGAATTTTCCCTTCCTGCCTTTAAAGATGAGGAGAGGGAAAAAAGAAAAAAAATCAAAGGGAAATGAATGAAGTCTTTTTCGCTATCATTGCTTCAGTGCAAAGCCCCAGCCATAAGGAAAGAGCAAGTGGCAAACTCATCGTCCTCAGTAGGAAGTGACCTCGGGTCGGTCCTGAAAGCAGGATGATGGGTGCAAGGGATGGTGCCATCCTACGTCCCACTGTCCCCTTTCTGAGACACCTATTTAGAAGGCAAGGATGGGTGACTCAGTGTCTACCAAGGGCGGACAGGTTATCCTCCTGCAACGCCCCATCCGTTCCAGCCCCGCAATGAGACGGACACCTGAGCTCAGCCCAAACTCCAGCTCCTTGGAAAGCGTCTCCCTGGCCCAAAGAAAAAACCTCCATGGACTCTACCGGCCCCAGGCTGACAAAAACATCAGGAGAAGACAGTAGCAAGGCTCAAAAGTGCTGTTTCCAAAGGCAAATTCTCAGTGTGTGATTTCCTTGCATTAACTAAAAGTTGTTGCAAGCTAGCACTCAGGTTGGTCATGCAGAGACAGTGAGGCTCTTTCACAAAGCCAGATTTCCGTGCTCTTAGAAAAGCAGAGATTTCTAACGCACTACCAAAATGCTCATTCTGCAGAGTTGGTCTCAGGCTCGTATAGGAAGGAGCAGCCTTTGAGCTGCTGTACGGGTGGAGCAGGCGTTGCGGGGTGCCACCCACGGCCAGAGACGGATGGCAGGCATTTTAATAGCCGCATTGCTCTGCGAGACACCCACACTGTCACTGCCGCAGCTGCTGCGGAGAGGCAGCCCGCTGGCTCTGCAAAAATCGTTGCCTCTGCTGCGTCAGGCATTCCTACCTTCGCCCTTGCCCCTGCCTGGCTGCGTCCAAAACAAGCACAAAACCATCAGATGCCTCTTCCCTCGGAAATAATGCAAGGAGAAAGCATGGTTTGAAAGGTGAGGGCCAGGGAAGAACCGCAGAGACAAGGTTTTCGCCCAGTGCTGTGATCCTCTGTGCCAGCAGCATCCCTCCTCGGCACAGCCAGTTTCGATGCAGCTGTATCTCTGCAATTTGTAGTAGCACCTGGCATGGCATCAGCCCAGGATGGACGGGCAGGAGAAAGCCCCAGATAGCCCATGGCCCCCCCGATGTCCTGCAGCCCCCTCCTGACCATCTGCACCTCCCCACGGACTGCCTCCATCCTGCCCTGCCGTCCTGCCCTGCCATGCGGAGCCCGTCCGTCCCGCCGAGGCGCAGGCTGACCTAACAACATATGCGAGCGGGGAGCATGGTGAAGCAACTAAATCTGTTTTCCTCTCTGACCGAAGCTTGCCTCCAGGCTTTAAAAGCCAAGCAATGCTCTGGTTTTCTTCACAAAGCCCCTTTGAGAAGAGCCTGGATGAATTCCAGTTTGGCTGTACGTCCCAAAGCTGCTTGGTGCCCTTCCCCCTGGCTCTCCCTCCTCGCACGAACATTGCTCCAACCCATGAAACAGCAGATTTTTCTTCTTGGCTGAGTGGAGGGACTGAGACATCCCCAGTCCTCCCCTCCCTGGGAACTAAGTGGTCCTCCCAGGTAGAAGTATTGCACTCCAAAATCGCAGGCTGCCAACATTCGTAGGAGATGTGGTGGTCAGCTCTACAAATAAACTGCTGAAGGAACATTTAGAAAAGCTCTTCATCCAGAAGCATCTCAAAAGTGCTTTATAAACTTCACTAAGGGACGGTGCAAACTATAACTCCCATTCTCGGTAGGGTCTGTGCAGAGGTATCTGCTCAGATGGCTGCTAGGGAAGATGCAGCGTGCAGGCTGGCATCCCAGAAAGGCTCCGCTAAAGCAGAGACTCTTGGGTACCTGGTGAATACATCTCTGGAAGCAAACCCTGAAAGACCTTGGTCTTAACCCAGCTCTGTCCCAGGACAAACTCAGCAATGCTCCCATGACAATAGCATAGGCATATTTCCTTCATCGGCAGAACCAAAAACCCAGGTATAAAGATGTGTGCGTCTACCACTGCATTTCAGCCACCTTGTACATAGAAATAAAGTAACTCTTCGACTGAAACATGGCCAAAATGTAGAGGGGGGGAAGGGGGGGGCAACTACGGCATCAGGCAAAGCATGTTTCCAAAGGGCGATCCAGAATACCCTCCTGAGATGCCCTAAGTTAAAAGGTGTGAATGAGCAGCCCTCTCAGTCACTGTCATGGTGGAAAAGCAGCTTTTTTTTTTCTTTTTTTTTTAACGTATCTTGGCTTCCCATGGAAAAGAGAGTCTGGGAGAGCCTTCCCTCGCTGCCCCCACCACTATGGATGTCAGCAGGTGGCACAGGCCTGGGAGCACTGGGGCACAGGATGCCTGCTAAGTGCTGTTCAAGCTCATCCTGGTTTAGCACCACTGGTCCCTGTTCATCCGCTCTGCTGACACCCATTGCACACAACTGCCAAGCCAGATCTGCTGGGGAATTGGGCATTCGCCACGAACATGCCCCCAGCGCTCGATAGCAGTGGTGTGAGCTGGGAAGCAGCTGATGCACTCAAAAACGAGCAAAAACCAGTCTGATCTTTTTTTGATGAGTCTTACCGGTGTCGGAAGAGGGGACAGCCTTGGTGAGGATGCTGTCGGTGATGGTGCCCAGCGTGCTGAAGGCGAACACCAGCGGCACAGCAATCACACAGTAGTGCCACACGGTCCTCATCAGGGCCTGAGGGACAGGACACAACAGACCACAGATCATTAGAGAGCACAAGCAGTGACATTGTGGCAAGAAACAACCTAGACAAACATCACAAGTCAACCCCACGACTTAGGTAAATTGTGGGAGCCACAACTGATGCATGATGGTGTGGCTTTGGCCATCGCAGGGTCTTTCGTAGCCCACCATTTGTCTGCAGTGAATTATTCCAAGCATGCGGAGCAAGTAGCAGATGATGCCCTACAATCTGGCAGCACGTTTCTCCGGCACTGCTGTGGGTATTTTTAGCATCTGGGAATTAGTGACGTCCCTGCACCCTTCCCCCCCGTCTTCTGTCTCTTGTCCAACTCCTGAGGAAACACTGAACAGCAGATGCATGTGGTGTACTTCAGGAAGCCTCCATTACTTATACAAAACAGCCTAGAGAAGGCATTTCAGTTCATTATCATAAATAATTAAAACTAAACTAAGCTTGTCAAAATAAATGAGCACGGTGCATTATGTAAGGCCATACCTTTGGGATTTCTAATCCTGTTCTGCTGCTTCCTTGCTAATAAATTCACCGAATTCAGTAATCTGGAATAGGTCTTCTGGCCATATGTGCACATTAGCGAGCATAATTAGGGAGAGTAATGATTTTGTTATTGCACATATTCTTAGTGGAGACATCCCTCCAGCTGTTTAATACTGAAACAAAAGCGGTGAGATTCCCTAAGCCGTGGGGCTAGAGCGGCTCTCGGCTCAGTCACAAGCCCTGTTGGTCAAATGAATGGATTTCTCTGGGGCATGGAAAGGAAATTCCCCCTTTCTTGCAAGTCTCCTGCCCTCACCCATGTCTCAAGGTGTGTTATTGCGGCTGGAAAACATTTCTATTGCTGGTTTAGCCAGAAGTTTCATTCTCTGGAGTTCTCTCTCCTGAAATCTGGTCCCTGCCTCTCGGCTACAGAAGATGGAGAAGCCCAGAGACATTGCTCACTAATGACTTGGAAATACTGAGGTTTATTCCTAGTTCCCCTCTAGAGTCACACACAGCCAGGTTTCTCCCCTCGGAGGGGCCCTTTGCCTACATTTTGGTTAAGATCTAGGCATTTCTGGTTAAGGGACCAGAGAACAAAGACAGAGGAACAGGTATTTGGTACATAAACACTCAGACAGAGGGAGAATAATTCCTTGCTAGGGAAAATGTCATTGCAGGATAACGTTGCAGAGCTCATAGGAAAAACCAGTTTTAACTGCCTGCCCCTGATTTGTACGAATTCCCTCACGGACGGAAGCAAGTGGGCAGAAAAGAGCAGAGCCACGTCTGTGCCTCCTGTAAAACCAGGGGAAACGGCTCCTCGCTCCCCTGGGACTTGGAAAGGACCGAGCCTGGCAGAATCTGGTCCCTGCTAGCCCTCAGTTGCTGGTAGGTAGCAATCTGTTTGATTTGAGCAGATCTGAAGGCATTTTTCAGGTGAGGGAGGCAGAACCAGGAGTTTCAGCAGACGGTCTCAAAAAGAAAACGCTAGGGAATGCAGGCAGCGAGGCAGGACGAGGCACAGCCATGCCTTCAGACAAAGAGAAAAGCTTCCCCACCGTGACCGCCAAGCCCTCCTACACCCCTGCCCACGTGATCCCAGCTTCCATCTGCAGCTCAGACACCGGCTCTCCCCTCCTCTCCTTTTCCAGGTGTTATTGCCCAGCTCCCAGCCCACCCCTTCCCTTCCTCAGCTGCTGATTGCTGGGATCATCCTGCAGACTCTTCCCAGCCGCACTGCCGGATGGCTGGCTGTCTGGCTGCTGCCACTGGTGCCAGCCTTCCAAAAACACTTCAGCCCTCCTCCCGGTGATACAAAGATGGGTTTCGGAGTGTCTTTGATTAACAGCTAGCCTTTCTCCGTGCTTCCATCCTTTGGGGAAGGGCTCTGTTTCCTTTGGAGGCCAGATGCAGCAAGGGCAGAGTGGGCGGGATGCTCCTCCACCGGCGGCTGTGCAGGATTAAAAGCTTCACGCATTAATCTCTGCATTTGGGGCCTGCCACTGTGACAGCACTCATCCCCACAAAGACAGAAAGCCACCCCAGAAACGGATGTTTTCTCAGCAGCCGCTCGAACAGAGCGCTTTTTAATACGGCGTCCCTGGCAAAGAGGATCGCAGCTGCGTTTGCCTATGAATAGTTCTCGTGGGAAGTCATTGCTGACCCTTGTCCCCAGGCCCGTGCTGTCAGGATGTTCACAGCCCTCCGGGCTTGCTGCAATTGCCAACTCGAAAACGGATTTCCCTTCCTAGCTCCCCTCCCTGTGCAGCTGATGTGAGCTCCCCGTGATGGGGTATCAGTCGGTGCAAGCCGGGCCGCCCTGTGTGCCCCTCCATTGCCACTGAGGCTTTGCCTCCTACCTCCAGCCTTCCCTCTCAGTGAGACCTCAGCACACAAAAGCCGTTTACTCCATGTTGCTCCTCCATCTGATTCCCATAAGATTGGACTTCAGCAGTCCCGAGGGCACCCTGCCCTGTACCGTTAGGGGTGCTCAGGTCTCCAGATCGGCCAGGTCCACCTTGGTCCCACCTAATTGCTCCCACCCATGACCAAACAACAATAGCAAGACCTTCAAAGACCTTCCTGGGCCATGCTCAGGAGCACCAAGCCCTGTGCAGATGTCCCATGCTAAGGGGGCACATTGATGCCAGTTGAACACCAGCCAGGAGGGACCCTTCCCAAGCATCCTACCACCCGGCAGCATCTCTGTGAGCCCCAAAATCCCACAGAGGGAGAGCCAACCCTTCGTCTGCATCCATCCTCCCTCCCCAGTCTCAGCGCAGACACGCGATTTAGCCTCAGATTAGCTAAGGTACGTAGGTGCCTCTTCTCATCCATGTAGCTGGGAACCATGAGCCTCAACACCCTCCAGGATTTGGCCCTGACCTCACTGTGGCTGCAGGGCGGTTGTGGGAATGGCATCCATCCTACCCATGCCGGCAGGAGCACCGGCACCCCGGCAGCAAGGCTCGAGGCCAAATCCTGCAGGGAATATCAAAACGTTGATGCGGTTCGACAGTCCCTTGGGCCCATCTCGCTGACGGGGACCAGTGCACACCCTTCCGCCATCCCCGTGGCCTGGGCAGAGCCGTCAGTTCCTTGAATGTGGCTTATCTGAGCAAACATGACTACCAGCAGAGCTGCCTACATCAGCTTGGTTTTCCAATTACCGTTTGAGATCGGCACCAACTGTTGCCCACGTAGACACAACCAGGGAGGGGTAACATCACTTATCCTAAAGCAGAGGAGCAAAATTACTGCTTTGCTACCTCCCTCCCCAAACACTCTCAACTTGGGGGAATTAGGTAAAAACAAAGCCTCAGAAGAAGAGCACACAACCTCCGGTGTCTCACAGCAGCGTACAACCACAATGATTTTTCCCCCACAATCTTCATTTACTTTCTGGGTAGTTCAGGAAATGCAGTTGCTGACAAGACCAAGGGCAGGATTTCTGTGCAAAGCCAGTGACTCAGGAGGGACTTAATGAGTTTCTGTGTGAGATTAATATTTTTTTTTAATCCCTGTAACTATTACTCACGCGGCTCTTTATCGCTATTTGACGTGGTGCTTACCCTGAGCGCAGCTCTGTTTGCATAGAGGCCCAGGAGAGCTGGTTTCGCCCCCGAGGACCACCCAGCAAAGCCGGCGGTGGCATTTCGACGGGCAGAGCTTGCAGTCAGGTCTCACAGGCCTTGCACCACTGCGTTATTAAAAGGCACCGTAGATGACTTCACGCTGAGCCTTACCATGCCTAAGCCCACACCGGCAAAGACGAAGACGCTGAGCCTGAGCAGGGTCCTCTCCGTGAAGTGGCTGGTGAGTTTTCCAAGGACCAGACCCTGGAACACCTGGGAAAGAAGCACATGAGCACCGTTAAGCCCAATATATAGCAACTGAAACAAACTCAAAAGCGAACTGCTACAGTGCTTCAAGCAAATGAAAGGGAGCAAATGGGTTATTCCCTCGCTGTTTTGGGAGAAAAAGGGACTTTGCTGTCATGGTAAATGGCTGGACAACATGATCCATTATTTCAAGCATTTTGCATCCTAGGGATAGATCCATCCCATCAGCTGGAACTCTTTACTCAGGGTGCACACCTCAGTTTACCATCACTGCCTACTCACCAGCGAGGACTGAAACTTTCCAAAGGGGCTTGCAGATACAAATGAATTTTTCTAAAACTAACTCGTGATGGTTTTGTGAAATACAGTTAATACTAAGGTCTTCATTCTTGGCAAGTCCTTCCAAAGAGAAACTGTACATTTGTATGCAGGGGAGAAAAACGCCTCCTTTCCTGTACCTTCTCTTGCCATTATTTTAAACTATAAATATACAAATTGGGTAGTTCATCATTTTTAGGCAGGAAACAAGTATGACGGAGATGCTAATACCCAGTCCCAGCAGCATGCGCAGGTGTGAGGGATGGGGAACTGGTTTTACTGATTTTAAATAAAAACTGTAAGAGAGGGGGCGGGAAGGAGAGGCAAAAAAAATGTAAATCCCAGGAAGTAGTTGGCTTTTCCAGCACTTTGCAGAGCAAAGATTTCCTCTTTTATTTCTCTGTTCAGCATCTCCCATATTTCAAGTGATGCTGGCCCAAGGGGACATGAGAGGACAGGGGCTGGAAGAGAGCACTGTGAAAAACGAAGCCTGACCGACTGCATTTCAGGGGAGGGACAGATAGGGATCTACCGAGTTTTCCCTGCCTTGAAAGGATTTGTTTGATCCAAGCAAAAACCCCTCCGACTCGAAGGAAGAGCTCTAGTGCAAAACGCTTCGTTTGGCAGGATGGCTTCGTTTCAACGGCAGTCCATCCTGGAGAAAACCTTGGTGCTCTGCTTGGACCTGGAATGATGCTACACCACGCTCAGCCTTGCTGTGTTAGGCCTAAGGGTGAAATCAAAACTCAACGGAAAGGAAATGAGTGCAAAACAAATAAGTTATTAAAAAGAAAGGAAATGTTAATCTATGACAAGCAGTCCAGAAAAGGCAAATTAATTACTAAAATTTAAAAAGAAAAGCAAAAAGTAAATAGTAATACAATGAAAATAAAGTTGAGATAAAGAACAACAGCTACAAATTTAACATATTTCCAACAAGCTACAACTTAATGGAAAAAACATCAAAATTTGACCCTTCATTTTGCTTCAGACCACAAGTGATTTTTGCCACGAGGGCACATCGCACCAAGTAGACATTTTGGTTCCCAGTAAATGCTTTTCCTGCCTCCTTTTTGTCCCTGTTCCCACCTTTGGGCAGGGTTCAAGAGCCCGGCTCACGTGCGCCAGCCGCCAGGTGACAGTGGCACAGGCCTCGCGTGCCTCTCCTGGGTCATGTCACCTGCCGAATGGCTTCGGGGACACTGCTGTGGTGCAATGCTCAGGTGACGGATGGGGTGACCTGAGTCATCCCGGCTGAAAGCCCTGCTGCGGACACGGGAGGAGGCTGATACCAGCCCCAGCGGCTCCCACTCAGGGGGTGGGTGGAGAAGCCACTGAGTAACACTTCATTAAGCTGAGTGCTCCTAAAAAGAAGAATCGTCATTAACTTTTTGCAACTTCCCAGTCCCTCCTGCTGGCTCGCCCTGGCCGGGGCTGTGCTGAGTCACACGGGATGGGGGCTGAGCCCCATTGCAGGGCATGGCTTGACTCAGCGATGGCATCACCCGAACCCCAGTTCAGCTCTGCTGAGCCACTGGAGGGAAGGAAACGTTTCTCAATTTGCCTGGACTTGAACGGCATATTTAATTGGGATACACTGTGCTGGCACAGCCCGGTTCCTGCCCTTCCTTGAGTCATTGGGGTATATATCATCAGCAACATCCCAGAGTAGCCTGGTCTGGTGGCCATGGGAGTGGTGTACCCAAAAATGTCTCCGTCACTACATGCAAGCACCTAAGTGCAGGCAACAAGCAGTGCCGCAGCAAAGCCAGGCTCTGAGCAGGCAGGACCTGCAGATATGCAGACCAGGCTGTCCCCAGCCAGCGGGGCAGAGGGACCGTCCTTATGCCAAGGTTGGCATTGGGCACGGGCTTCCCCCTCACTCAGA